CAACCTTTGCCCTAAAATGAGAGGGTTCGTTTTGAGTTAGCCCGCCTTTGCGTGCAAAAAGGACTTTGAGTAGGAACAGTTCCTGGTTTTACCTTTTGTGAGCACTGTTGTAGCATAAAGTTAATAAAGATTTCAGAATTTAATACGCAACCCCCCCAAAACTAATAAGCAAATATTAGTTTTGGGATGCTTAATGTTTTCTTCTTAATGAATGCTGATGTTTTGCATCAGGTGAAGCAAGTAAGCACCGAGATTCCCTCTGTGCAATTAGCAGAAACGGTTCCCAACGCAATGGTGATAACCAGAATTACTGTTACACGGTGGGGCTGGTCGCAGAGCCAGCCATGACGTATTTCCACCACCAAAGTGGGACGTAGGTGTTGTTCCCGAGTTACTCATGGAACAGGGATCGGAAGGGCTGGTCCGATGCTGATACCGCAGCAAGGTCCGGTCTGCTCGGTCATTTCTCTATGGACTGCAACCTCGAAGCGTGCGTGGACACCCCGGTCACTGGTTGGGGACAGGGAGGAGCTGCTGCTCCAGAGGCCTGCCTGCGTCGGGAATGGCGATTTATTTTGTACGTTAAGGTTGCAGTGGAGAACCAAATGCCGTGTACGTGACCTGCGGGGTGAAGCTGGATCTTGGGGGCTGCCCAGGCCAACGAGGAGCTGCCCAGGCCAACGAGGAGCTGCCCAGGCCAACGAGGAGCTGCCCACAGGAGGCACCCGGGGAGGCAGAAGCGGCCCCGCTTTACCAGCGCGGTGTCCATCTGAGCCTTCCTTGCTCTGAACGCTCCCACGGTGACGCTGTCTCTTCGGGAGGAGAGTTCTTCATGTCTGACCTGTGCTTTGTGTTGCGTATGTTATGTATATTCACTTGAATTTTTAAGTAGTCTAAACTTGGGGTTTTCTTGCCCCCACCCCACTTCTGTGACTGGTTAGAATAAAATTGAAGAGGGACCTGGGTGTCCTGGTGGACGACAGGGTGACCATGAGCCAGCAGCGTGCCCTGGCTGCCCAGAAGGCCAATGGTCTCCTGGGGTGCATTCAGAGGAGTGTGGGCAGCAGGGCGAGGGAGGGTCTCCTCCCCCTCTGCTCTGCCCCACTGAGGCCCCATCTGCAGTGCTGTGTCCAGTGCTGGGCTCCCCACTTCAAGAAAGATGAGGAGCTACTGGAGAGAGCCCAGCGCAGGGCTACGAGGATGAGGAGGGGACTGGAGCATCTCTCCTAGGAGGAGAGGCTGAGGGAGCTGGGCTTGTTCAGCCTGGAGAAGAGAAGGCTGAAAAAAAAGGAAGAACTTCTTCCCTCTGAGGGTGATGGAGCCCTGGCCCAGGCTGCCCAAGGAGGCTGTGGAGTCTCCTTCTCTGGAGATATTCCAGCCCCGCCTGGCCGCGGTGCTGTGCAGCCTGCTGTGGGTGACCCTGCTTGGGCAGGGGGTTGGGCTGGGTGATCCACAGAGGTCCCTTCCAACCCCTACCATTCTGTGATTCTGTGATTCTGTGAATAGAGTATTTCATCTGGAAGGGACCTGCTACCATCATCTACTCTAACTCCCTTCTAGTGCTTGAAACTCTTCTCCTAATTCCGATTCTTGCCCTTGTAGCATTCATAAACTCTATTTCCAGTATAAATAGGGCTGATCTGAAGCACATTCATTTTTTTGCCCTCTCTGCTTGCTGGGGCTGGGCCATCAGCTTAGCTGGTGTCCTCAGCAGATAAGATCCGCTGTTTCAGTTGGGTGGCCGTGGAGTCTGGGTGCTGAAAAGCAGGCGTTTTGCGCTGCGCTCGGTGTTGGCTTTGCTTTTAAGGATTATTTTGTGTTTGCTTTTTGTTTTCTGCCCTTCGATGAGGGACGCGATCTGTCTGTGTGAGGCCCAAGGTGACGCGCTCCAGCTCTAGCGAGACTCATGCTGAGAAAAATCACCAGTGAGATGAAGCCCTGAACGTTTGAGATCCAGTACAGTTGTTTGCGACTTCCTTTCCAGTTCCAGTAACACAGACTGTGGATTTTCAGTTCAGTTACTGCCATTTATTCAAAAGATATTTTTTGATTATTATTTTCTGAGTAGTAGGCTTGTGTACGCAGGGATTTTCTGCGTTGTTGGCTGCTCTGTGAACAGCTCTGGAAGAGGGCTTTGTCATTGAGATTTTAAATTAAAATTTATTTCTTATTCTGCTCACTCCTGAGACCTAGAATAGAAAGTCCATGTTTCTGGTGATTTCAGTACACCTTTAAAAACAATTTTTTAATTTCTTTTTTTTAACATTTGCCTTGGACTTGATTTGAGCAGGTCACATTTGCCCTTGACCAAAACAAGCTAAAGGTTAAAAATTCAGCTTTTCCTGATGTAATCACTACAACTTCTAAGCGTATTCTTACATCCCATGTGTCTGTTCCTTGGCAGGGTACCCTATTTTAGGTCCTCTGTGTGACTGTGAGACAAAACCTTTCTCTTCTGCGTGAACGCGATGCGTAGCGTTTTGGCTAGCTCGTCAGCCTTGCCCCTTGCATTGCAAGGTCTCCAGGCAGCAAGAGCACACTTCTCAGCCCTCCCCTCTCCCAAAATCCTGCAACGTTCGCGCTGGTGCTGGGCTGCAGGCGAACAGAGATGGACTGAGAAAGTGAGATTGATTCTTACAGAAAGAGGTAGGGCCTTGCTGAAAGGTATGAGCAAAAATATGTATCCAGTTTTTCCGTTTGGTCATTAGGCCAGCATACTGGTGCATCTGTTGCTAAAATCTGATTATTTTTAGTTGCATTACTGGGGAGAAAAAGAGTAGGTAGATCATTTTATAATAGTCCTGTGGGCATTGAATAGAATTTAATGCCAAATTGAAAGCGTAATGGCTGTACTTAGGGTTTACCTTCCCCTGTAGGCTCTCTCCCATGTAGCTGAAAGTGGACGCTTCGGAAAGGATATGAAACACAGCAGCACCTGTGATAGCTCCCCCAGCTTCGAAATGTTTGAGGCTTACAGAATTCCTAAGCTAGATATGTATAAAAAACCCTTAATGGATTTCTTGCCTGCATGAACCTAGCAGACCTTGTCCTCTAGTATTCTGTGCGTTCAAGATGGTGAAGGCGAGTTGTTCAGAATGTCATTGGCCATTTACTGGTTTTAATCACAGAATCACAGAATAGTAGGGGTTGGAAGGGACCTCTGTGGGTCATCTAGTCCAACCCCCCTG